TTAAAAGTATATTAACGCTTGTAAAAACTTTGCTCTCAATGTATGCTGCTGCTATTGATACCATTACATAATATTACCATTACTTTTACTATTAATAAAAAAATTACAAATATTTTACTAACAAAAACGATAGACAGTATTTAAAAGATGGCTGTAACCATGGCAACCTCACTCACATTTCCTCTACTGACATCTCGGTCTAATGAGACCAGATGCAAGAAGCAAAAGGCAGGATCTGATTGAGAAAAATGATGGACAGATGTGCTCTTCTAAGATATGACGGTATTCCGTCATATCTTAGAAGAGCACATCTGTTTCCTGAGTGCCATGAAGCAAGGCATGCGAATACAACTGATGACCCTTTGTCTCGTTTCCTTTCTCTAGCATGGCGTACATCCTCCACCATTCGACCACCTTCCACGCTCACGGCAGCGGTTACCACCAGATCGACGAGGATGGTCAGAGCCCCGTGGTTCATGGCCACTCGCACGCCCTCCTCGGCAGTCATGGTAACACAAGCGTCCGTGCTGCCTTCATCCACGTGGTGGGAGACCTGCTGCAGAGTGTCGGCGTCATGGTGGCGGCGACCATCATCTACTTCCGGGTCAGATAAACAGATATATTACATGATATAAAACAGAGTCATGTTAAAAGCACAAAGACATGCTTACAGGTACAAGCATATTTGTATTCTGAGCATTAGAGAATGATATTTGAATGTGTACAAAGAAACCATGTATGGTTTCTTATGTATTATGGATGAAAGATTCAAGCATTTCTGTTGTGTTGCAAGATGTTCCTGTTTTTGTGCCTGGAGCACTTTAGTGCCTCATGACTGTGGAAATCACCATCTGACGCCCTTTTCCTCGCTCTTTAAAGTGTCCTTAACCTCTTTTCTCTCTTTCAGCCCGAGTATAAAGTCGCAGACCCCATCTGCACGTTCCTATTTTCTGTCTTTGTTCTCTGCACCACTGTCACCATCCTCAGAGACGTCTTTAGGATACTCATGGAAGGTATTAAACAATCAACAGCTTCTTATGTTCGAAATACTTTTTCATATTTTAATAGTGGAATCATATACTGTACCTGATAGTTCCCATGAAGTATAAAGTATTTTTGTTATTATGCAAAAGCGGTACTTCACACCAGATTTACATATGTGTTTTTCCTCTTGCTTGTTGCTCCACTGATCTATCTACATACTGGGTTCTCCAGATCAGCTGTAGAAATGCTTGTCTTTGAGTGCAGGAGGGAACTGACTTTGTGGGCTCAAAATGGAAAAACATGTATTTGAAAAACTCACAAACTCTTGTCAGAAATTATAATGCAGTTACTCAAAAAAAACAAAAAACAAAAACCCATGTAATGATAACAAACCCTGTTGTAAGTCAATAAATTTGATATTTGTTTATTTATTATAATTTAATTAAACCCATTGAAGTTCAAAAATTTGATTCAAAGCATAAAATGTACAATTGCAACATAATATCTCCAGAAGTTCTTAAAATGGAATTATAACAAATCCAATCCAATAAGTCCAGTATGAAGTCAGGCCAGTTTTTGTGTCCTAAGGTTGTTGTCCTGAAAGAAAAACCTGCATCACACTGAAACTTCTTAAAAAGATCGTCCAGAAAAATACATTTTTCAATACTGTGATAAATGTTTAATGTGAAGATGCTTTCGATACAACGGGTTCATCTGTAGCTGGATTTGACATGAATGATTATTATTTCTTTTTCTGTGTTAAATCTGAGGTTTAAAATCTAGTTCACAATTTTCCTTACATGATTGTGGCATCAAGGGCAGATGTTATATAAGCTGTAGCTTCTGTCACACCCTTTCAGTTTGAAATCTAAATAAAGATAAAATAAGATGAAATAAAAATATAACTGTTATAGCGTCTCCTCCTCTAGGCTTGGCTTAGAGTGACTTAAATTTCTTCTTCATATGGTGAAATTGAGGGTCTGTGCAGATGTTTGCATGCCTGCTTCATTTTTCTGCGAGTGAAGACTCAGCTGCAGAGACTTTGCATTACAATGCACCAAACATGGATGCCGTGGTTTCTCCAGCTGTTTGTGTTTGCAGCAGAGTATAATCGAGGCCTTACTGGGCAGAAGAAACTGTGCAACTGCCCGTAACAAGAAGCTCAGGCTAACAGCAGAATGTAATGATTAATGGCAGCTCCCTTGCTGTAATTTCAATTACATGCTTCTTTTGGTTAGCAATAGTTTAGTATGTAAAAAAAAAACACAGTTCCCGGTGAAACGGCTTAAAACTAAATTGGTGGATTTGATTTAATTTGTACTTTTTTTTTGGTAAATCTATCACAGTTGGTGGAAAAATACATTGTGCAGTTTTTCTAATTATATTTTTGTTGCCTTAAACACCACAAACTACCTTTGCTATATTCATGGGTGCCCGATATCGCGAAAAGTAGATAAACAGGAATACGAGCCAAAGAAAAAAACACAAAAAAATCCAACAAACATAAATCTGATTTTTATTTCCTGACTCTTCAAGCTATAAATTCAGTGTCTCAGCTTGATATGAGATTGGAAAAGGGAGAAACCGCCAGCCTACCAATACCTATAAAGTTCAGTAACACTGCTGTTAAAGCCAGCAGCTTGTTTTAGGTCAACGCTCAGAAACAAGCATGCAGCTACCCTGCATCAGTTTATGCTGTTTATTAGAAAAAACTCTTTTGAGGAAGGTTGAATATTGCTTTAAATTAAGTTTATGTGATATTTCTGACCATGATGCCTGCAGCTTGGATCCAGCTGTCAGGCTTTGACCTGGTATGAAAAAGGTTAACATCACATGTTGCAAAGGACAGTTATGTCACGTAGAAGTGCAAAAAACAACATATTTGGAGCCTAACTGAAGTATTCATGGCTTCAGATATGTATGTCCACAAGCTCCACATGGCATGTTTGTGTAACAGCAGAGAAACGCGTCTGTGGTTTTCCTGGCACAGAACAAAGAGGACAGATGGTCACATCCTGGGGATGCCCTGAGATGTTAGATCACCCAAGTCTCTGCACGTCACTGAACTTTCACACGATGACCCAAAGTAGCTTTTGGGCATCTTTGAAACAGTTTGGTGTCAATGAGCAAAATGATAACGTGCATGAGAGCCATGTATCTGATGTAATACTGTATACATACATCAGAGTTTTAATACTTGTATTTATGATTAGTTTGCATTTATATTTCTTTTTGGGTTGAATTTACTTTTTTGTTTCCCTTTTAGGTTTGTCTGTTTATACAGTTTGAAATGTCCAATTTTAGCCTATTTTTTTTATTACTTTCACTGTTAGTTTTAGTGTTTTTATAATCTTAACGTAGAAATATTTCCCAGATTTAAGATCTTCAGAATAGATATTGTAGTACACAAAACAAATTTTGAAGGCAGTCATGCAACTACCTTAGTCTCATGTGCAGGAATGCCTCCTGCACATTGTCTCTATAGTTTTAGTGACTAGTTTTAATTAACTACTGTATAACTAGTCATGATTTTAGTCAAATTTGACTTCTTTTCCACCTGTAGATCAGTAAAATAAAATATATCACTGTGTGCTTATCAAGGAATAATATTGTTCTGTATACCAGGCCAAAATCAGCTAGACAAAGTCTCTGTGTATCTGAAGCAGACTGTTTGCATGTGAGCCACACATTCACAGACGTACTGTTAACTTGGTGTGTCTTAATTTTGATGGCCCGTTGTTTTTCAGGGTCCCCTAAAGGAATCGAGTTTAACTCGGTGAAGGAGGTGCTGCTGTCTGTGAAAGCTGTGAAGTCCATGCACTGCCTGCACCTCTGGGCTCTGACTCTCGGCCAGGCGCTGGTTTCTGTTCACCTGGCCGTAGGTAAAGTAACACACTGATCTACAGTGCATAGTACAGTGAGAGGCACAGGGAATTAAGGCTACTTTAACCAGTCATTAAAAGCTCCACATGGCTGATGAGCATTAGCCGGCATATTCCGATATGGGAAGAGAAAACTGTGATACGAAATGTGGATTTCTGTGTTACACCCCTAACAGACCACAGTAGAGTAAACCACACTCGCTCTGTTCATTTTTACCTTCTTGTTTCACCACCAGAGGAGGGCACTGACCAGCAGTCTGTGCTGCAGGAGGCCACTGACCTACTCCACACCAAGTTTGGTTTCTACAGCATCACCATCCAGGTAGAGCTCTACTCTGAAGACATGAGCTACTGCTCCCACTGCCAGGACCCTAGTGACTGATAAACAACCAGAGTGGACTGGACCCAGCAGGACATGGATGACTAAGACAGATTGTCATTCTCTCCTGGTGGTCTGGAGTCATGAGGGATGTATTCACAGAGCAGCTTCCCTTCAAGGAAAGAATTTTTGGGTTGTTTTTGCCATTAAGTTTTAAAAGATTTGACAGTGAAATCATCCTTGTGCTGATAGTAGAGTCCTGATACCAAAGCTCCATGCTAACATGGAATATGCCAGTTCATTCAAAGTCCTTCAAAAAGGGGTGGCGTGCTTTATTTCCATCACAAACTGAGACAATTTCACAAGAATCACCAGGGTGAAGCTGTCCTTGGGATTGCTGGTGCTAGCTTGTAAGGAAATTTTCAAGAATAAAGGAAAGTAGGGCCCTGAAAAAAAACACATTTTACCAAAAATCTGACCTCTTCTAATTAATTTCCTCAACAAAACAAAGATCACATCACAATACTATTTATTTAAGGACCACTAATATCTTATTTCCAGTAATATGGTGCCAGTTCTGCTCTGTTCTACCTTGGTGCCTTTTAAGAATCAGCCCACTGGTTATCTGTAAAGTTACTGGCAGAAACTCGAGTACTTATCATGGAAATAACTTTATGTGGTAGCTCCTTCATAATGACAGATGTCCATCTTTGGGGTGAGACATTTCATGGTGTAGAGATGGTGCCCACTTTTGGTCACAAGTACCACTTTTTTTGGTGGAAATGGTGGAAATGCCTGTGTACAAGCTCATTAGGTTGAAAATAGATACAAGTGATCCATAGAAATGATCAATAATAGTAATTGTTCTCCATCAGACACCCTATTTTAAGTTAAGAACAGTCATACCAGCTAAAATTCAGAAGTTATGAGTTATACTTTACCATAAATTCTGTATTAAAACACCTTAAAGACACAGTGACATTATTTATTGATGTCACTGTGTATTAAGTTTTTATTTGTTTCTTTTAAAAAAAATAATAGTTCTGTTTTACTTGCGCCTCAGCGTGTTTCATTTCAGGCTTAATGTAAGTAAATAGAAAACACTGCCAAATAAATGAGCACATACAGTGATTAGGCTTATAGCTATTCCTACAGTAAGGTAAATCCTTCCTTTGTGAATCTAATAATTAGCACAGTTTACAAAGTTAATATTATGTTGCATTACATAAGAAGTGTTACTCGATAATGAGACAATAGACGTTCAAAGAAAGTGTTTATTGAGGTCCTGACTTAAGAGAGGTGACGCTTCTTTGTTCCACTGAGTTCTGTACAACCAGAAGCCTCATTGAAACTCAAGGAGTCGCCCTCTGCTGGTCAGAAGGAAGGATGCCCATGTCAGACATTTGAACAACAAAGAAATAAATAAATCTGAGGAATTTTCTGAAAATATTTTTTTTTCAGCCACTTCTTGATTAATGCAACTTTCTTACTCATTTTAAATGATAAGATGACTTAAAAAAATTAAGCCATTGTGAAGGGTGATGAATTGCACGTTTTTAATTTTGCAAGTATTTTTTATAGTTGTCTTCTACAATTGAAAGGCAGTAATTGTAGTAAAATCCCTTCTTCTTTCAAAAAGATGCTGAATCACTCAAACACTTTAATTCAATCAACTGTGAAATTAGTGTAAGTTAAGTTCCACAAAACAGGAACAGTCTCCTCAAAGTCTTCTTCAAATTGCTAAAAAATAATTAAAAACACTTTTAAAGCACCACAGGAGATTGATTTTGCTGACGTGATAAAAGGCATCTGTGCAGATGTTTGTCCAAAGTAATTTTCAGTTTATCTTCTGGGCTATTAATTAAATGTTTCCAATTAATTTATGAACATCAGCTTTACTCTGTAACAAGAACATAAGGTAATAAATAAGAGGCATAAGCTATATCATCTGCTGCAGATGTTAATATGGAGCACCTGATGAAACTCTACTACAGACACATTTGTTGTATCAGCTCTACCAGACCCACTATAGTGTAGTCATCTCTATGCAAGGCTTGCAAGCATAACATATTTTTAGTGCTAAAGTGTTAAAAAGCTCACAGATGATTGATTTCTGACGTTTCTTTGTGCACGTTTCAAGTACCTGTAACATGCTGTCTTATGAGTAAGAATAAGAATGACTCTTTAAAAATCTTTTAATTTTGTCTGTACTCTTGGTCACCACAGACCACATTGTGCTGTTACTAAAGACCACAGGGACGTCATGAGACACAAACAGGAAAGGACATAACAATTAAATTGTTAAAGAACAATGTTCATCCTTAAAAATGTTGGAGGCATGTGGCACTAAATGTGTCACATGCAAAATGTGTGCAGCTCTTCAGTAATAAACTCGCATATAAGTTCACATTTTTGTTTTCACTTTAGAAAATACATAAAGACGTATTCATGTTTCCACCAAACAAAGGGAAACGTGTTCCTTCTCATGATTGATAAGCACTTTGACAACAACGAGTTTCAGAATCACGATTAGCTTTCCAAAATGACCTTTAAAAACAGACACGATCAAATCTGTGTTGCATGTGTAGCTCAGAGCTGTTTATATAATGGTGGGCAGAGTATCGATATGGATTGAGCAGAAGGAAAATGAACGGGAAGTGTCAGACTGAAAAAGCATTCACCTACCTCCACTGTCAGATCTGAGTGGACATTTGGGTCTGAGGGCAAAAATGATTTAGTTCTGGAGCCGGATGATTAGTTTCAGCTGCTGTCATCTATCTCATCTCTCTCTCATTCTTCCTGCAGACATCCATCTACTGTATGTTTCTCCATTTCCTGGGCTTTCATCAATCCATCTGCTCTCCATTCATTCATGTTTTGCAAGTCATGAAGCATCAGCTTCCTCTTACCTTTTTATAGACTGGGCTATGACTTTATGCATATCTGACACAAATCTGTTATATTTTTGTTTTGCTTTGTTTTTGACCACAGAAGAAGGCAATGCTTATTTTTTGTACTGGGATCCAACCAATCCCAAAGAGCTAGGAAAAATTCAAAAGGCATTCCAAATAAGAGACTGGGCCTAGAGACCTAAACATTTTGTTAACTTTCACCAGAATTGTGGACAGATTACTGAACATAGACCAAGAAGCCCAAGAGATTAGTCCAGGGTCCAGTTTGTTTAAAGTGACTGTCGGTCAGTCTACTACAGAGAAACACAGAAATATGAAGACAAGAAAAACTATATGAACACAAGTAATGGGACACCTACACACCACACCTACAGGAGCTGCGCCACTTGCAGCTGATCATATAATTTCTAGGAGGGAGAAATTTCATGAAATACCTTGTTGCTGTGGATCCTATCACTGTACTGTGTTCAGATTCATTGGGCTCTTTAAAGTGACCCATTCTTTCACAAATGTTTACAAAGGCAGGCCGCATGGTTTAGATGCTTGATGTGATAAGTTTGTGGCAATAGGACTGAAAACACCTCTATTTAAAGATTAAGAGGTGTGGTCCAGTACATTTGCTCATATAGTGTAGTGCTCATATACTGTACTTTAACTAAAAACAATCACAGAATGAATGCAGAGGACCCCCCCTCCACCCCACTCCCACTAAATTTACATCAATCTGGCCAACAGTTTGTTTTGTTTGTGTTCAAAATCATGATGTAGCTGTTGGGGTGCTTAGAGGACAAGAACAAGCTAGCAAGCAGAAAGTTTGGGCTGATGATAGTTTTAAGAATGGGCTGTAATCACATTGTCCACTGGGGACCATGAATATCCACAGGAAGTTTCACACCAATCTTTTCAAAAGTTATAATTTGGCCTAAAGGGTCACAAAAAGACAAACTGGATAATTTATAAAGAAAAATGTAAAGATACCTCCTCTGGGGAGCAGGAATGGGGACATTTTCATAGCAAGCTCTCCATTAAATTGGTTTGTACTAGTTCATTTTGCACAGTGCAGAAAATCTGAGCTGGTGATGGCACTGGGAGAAGGGATAATGCAATCATCACAATCAAAGTTTAACTGAGACATCCTCTGGGGACCATGAATATCCACAGCACGCTTCACAGCGAGGTCATTAGTTACACTGAAGATGGCACTTAGAACCGAGCACTTAGACTTACAATTATATATATTTACATAAAAAATACACAGCATTTTAATGGAAAATGTCCACTATTTTAATGTATCCATTGCTTTTGGTGTGATTTACGTGTAAATTCACCATAATTTTTCTTTTTTTCTATTAGATCTAATCCTCTGGGGACAATGAATATGTAAATTAAGTCTTAGAGCAACATGATTATGGTGATTATCAATTAAGTGCCTCCCTCCTTTGGCATGAGAGGTTAAGCTATTTTATGACCAAACCGGAAATTTTAGAGGGCATCACCTTGGGACTTGCTCTCTGGTTGTTTCATTCTAAAACATTTTGAGGTGATGGTGGAGCTGGGTATCTTCAACATTATAAAAATTCACTGTCTTAGATCCGCAAACACCCACAGCATGTTTTATGGAGATTTTAGTTTGTATTTTCTTTCAGGTTGAGAAAATATAATAATAAAAAAAAGCTATTTTACACCCATAAAAAAGCCAATGAGTCCGCCAACATGCCTGTAATGCTTCCCAGCTGCTATCAAGTGTTACTGTTGACTGCTGCTTTAAATTAAAGGACAATTATGCATTGAAATTGCCGAATTCACGTCCATTCTGATCCAAGAGCTTGCATGGTTGTTAGCTGTTATTCAATATCATGTACTGTAAGTAGTTTCTTGTTCAACTGCCAGTCAGAATATGTAGACGCACCATGTGGAGATTCAATCAAAGAATAAAATCTTCTTTAAAATTCTATATTTTCACCAATTTTTAGAGATCCTATATATTTTTTTCCTTTTAGAAATTATAAAATGAGAATATATAAAGGACCCAACACCTACAGATTTTAGGTTAAAACAAAGTAAATATAATAAAGACCAATGCATTTTACTGCACTGGTTTTGATATACATGCAGTTCTCCTACACGGGCTCTACTGTTACAATTGAAGCTTTATAAAGTTTATTTCATTCCAAGAAAAAATAAAATAAAGGAAAAACATTTCCTGTTTGTTCACTCTGAACATCTAATGTCTGAGAATGCTCTGTTATTGTGCCGTTGCCATTTGTGACAATTAGAATTTGTGTAACTGTTGTAAATAGGTCAAATAATGTGATTTTGTGTGTACATGTGTAAATACATCTATCTTCCATGTACAAAAAGTGGTTCCCAAAAAGTCCTATTTGTCTGTGTTGTGATGTCACATACGATCCACTTGTCACATGTGTGATGTTTGATATTTCATTTTTATGTGTGGCAACAGTTTTTGTAAAGTGAAATAAAAGACTGCTGATGATGGAAAGAAGCTGGATTATTTTAGTTTAAAAGTTTAACAGGAAATCTAGATGTAAATAAAGACTGGAGCCACGGTCTTGCTTTATTATAAAATTTATTATATGTAACATTTCAAAAATAGCAAAAGTGAGCAGGGAGAAGAACATTTCGATGCTTTTATGAATAAGTTAAAGATAATTTTGTCAGTAATGAAATATGGCCACGGCTGACAACACTATAATGAAATATTATTGTGAAACTGTCACTAAAATTTATAATTAATCAAAAAATGAAGCACACTTTAAAACCCCTAATTTAACTCAGAGGGAAATGTGTCTTTAAAAAAAAGTGATGCCAGTAATTAATTACACCTCACTATTATTTTCTTGTAGACAGTTAAAAATAAATAAAGTTGGAGAAAAACAACAACAGGAAAATGTACACCAGGTAAGAAAAAGATTTAACATTTCTAAGTGTTATATCCTGTTGATACAAAAAATTCAAGTATTTTCCCTAATTAGAGCCTGAGTTGTTTGAACAAACAAACGCAGCCAAAATTAGCTCCCAGCCTGCTACCGATAACGTGAGAGGCTGATAACAAAATGAGGGAATGCACAAAAAAAACCCCTCTCTAAAAACAAAGTCACAACTTAAACAACGCGTGAGAAAGTCTGGAAATATTACAAACACCAGTGGGTTTAACTAATGAAATTACTTATGAAGTTCCAGAACACTCTTGCTAGTAAGCCTAAGAAATATTGGCATGACGCACCAATTCTTTGGAAAACAACGGCATCCTCACTTTTAAAAAAATAACGTTTTAAACGTCTTTCAGCTCTCCGTCGCACTGAGAACATGTGCCTTCAAAGAAAAGGTTGCGCTTTCCTGCTGTAACTAACAGGTTGTAAAAGGTCCAACTTTTACTTTGAAGGTGAGCATTCTCCACGTGTCGCGCTTTTCAGTTTCAATGTTGCTTGGAGAACATTTTGAAAGTGTTTGCAGACAATCTGGCGTCTTCCATGTAAACTATGGGCAACTGTTGTAATGTAATCAAAACGACCAAATCAATCACCAGAAGGTTTTTGTTGCAGCACCGTGATCCTCTTTGCAACCAAATTCATGTGCAAACAACCACTCTCCAACCAGGTGGCGGACACACATTTCATCTAGGCCTGTGTGAGTGAGGGTTACGAAAGGCACTTAACTGTCAACTGCTGCAGTTTTTCTGATGTAGAGAACAGAACTGTCATTATTAGGACTTTTATTATAATTTGATAAGAAGAAAATGGAAAACATGGAAACATTTAATTGCCAGGAAAAATTAAATGGCTTTGAATTCAACAGATTCTGGTTGGGTTTGGTTTGCAGAGAGAAAGTCTTGCTTCAGTTTATCAGGGTGAACGATGAACAGAGATCAAAAGAAAAGCCCCTAAACTGGTCATGAGAGAGTTTTACTTTTGTTAGCTTGCATACTGTAATTATGTCAATTTAAAGTTGAACTTCATTATGTACGGAGTGACATTCAGACAATTTGGATATATCTAGCCATGTCTAGATGCTTCAAAACCTGGACCAATTAAACCTGTAGTACCTTCATGGCTTGATGTCATTAGTTTTCGTTGACTGATTTTCAACATATACAAATGTATAAGAATGAAAACGTAATATTCATACATATTTTCATTATTCACAGCTGCGTGTTTCAGAGGTCACTTTTTTGACTGTCTCTTGAGGGAGTACAACCCACCGTAGCAAAGTTAAACTCCTGCTATAGCTGCTCTGTCACCGCTTGGCCCGGCGAGTACAGAGTGTTGAACTGGGCCTGACTCTCACCAATCATCTTCTTCAGATGAGAGTTCATCAGAGCCCTTACACAGTTAAATCTAACCAGTCCAGTCTGACCCCCGGATGCAACCCAGTCGTGGCAGCTCATGTTTGGGTTGAAACGAACCTGAAGAAATGAGAAAAGACAGCTGAGAATATTTCTCGTCTGTGCTCTTAAACCAGCAACTGAACATCAGAGGTCAATTTACAGAAGAGCAGATACTGGCATTATTTACAGGCAGAAAAGCAGAGGACCAAGTGTGGATCCCTGAGGGACTCCACATTTAATACAAACAGCTTTCTTTGTGTTCTACTAAGGTGACAGTGGTTTTTATTTATAGGCTAATTTCTTGTTTTCTCTGTCCACAGTGAATGACGCAGCTGTAGCTCTGAGTCAATATCATCACTTCCCCCTGATTTCTTTACAGACGCTTATCCACCCCACTCATCACTATAAATCCTCCTGGTGCACGCCTCCCTATTTTTTTTCACTTCTCCTTCCCAAGTTGCCATCCTCCTCTTTCTAATCCATTTATCCCTCTCAGACAAAGAGCCAGTCAAAAACCTTTCCCATTTTGTTTTGGAGCCTGTCCCAAGAAGTCTCCGTCCATCATTTCATCCCAGAGGGCACAGCGACACCCTCCACTCTGCCTCTCTTAAAATTAAACACATCAAATCCTCAAATGGCTGCTTTCCATCTCCCCCTCCCTCCTTCCACTGAGGGTGACATTTTTCTCATTTAACACATCATTACATTCAGCCCCTTTATAGCTGCCCATCAGAGGAGGAGGCAGAAGAGGGAGGAGGAAGAGGCTATTCTTACAGATCTCACCTCCATTTCCTCTCATTGTACTGTTTATCTTTTCCTGCTTTTTCTCTTTGTGTTACACTACAGCCGGAGTCTGATGATACCCGCCCTGTGTGTGTGTGTTTCAGATACCTTATATAGAGCAGACAAAGGCATGTCATCCAGGATGATCTTTGCCTTCACTTCTGTGTCTTTCATGCGTTTCCACACAGCTCGCCTCTCGCTTCCTGCAGTGGTCCGCTGAAAGTCAGAGTGAATGATTATTACAGTGTCAGTGTGGTCTTCCTCTCATTTCGTTCTCTATTCTACTATAGCCTTTTTCTCCAGTTTGTCTTTGGCCTACATATATTACTTGAACATTCCTTACTTTTTAAATAAATATCTGTTTAATAAAAAACAATGAAACCAAATGAAGATAAAAATTAACCCACAAAATCAAAATCTGTATAGTGGAGGCAGTATTTCTTTGCAGCCTCTTTGTAGGTCTGGAATTTCAGCGGAGGACATTTTCGTCCAACTCTTCCTCCTTCACTGTCGTTCTCATTTCCTGCTTCCTGTGTAGCATCTGGTTCTTCTGTCTCTTCTCCCTGCTGCTCTTCAACTGCGTTTCCTTCCTCTTCCTCTCCTCCCATTTCTTGTTTTTCTCTCTCCGTTGCATCATAAGGCACCATAGATGTGAAGTAGATGGGCTGAAGGGAACAGGTTAATAAAATGGACCGTTAGCTTGTCTCTAAATCTGAGCAATTCTTTCACTGCAACTGGCCACATGTTCAATTCATGTTCTTTGTCTTATTTTCTATGAACACTACCAATTTTATATGACATCTGATATAATGTAAAATGATATTTTTGAAGTAAACATAGGGAAAAATAAAGAGCGATAAAAGTAAAGGAAAAGTAAACTTACAAATCGTCTCTCTATTGTGCGTTTGATGTAAGGAGCAACGTAGCTGATCTGAGGTAACAGAGAGAAAATCACCTCTCCGAAGCTGTCTGCAGTCACCAGACTGTTAATCCACTCGGTGTATGACAGAGACTGCAGGGACGCATAGAAAATGAAATATTAAATCACACAGCACTGCTAAGGAAAAAAAGTTTCTCTCAGTAACTTAGAGCAAATTTCAGACACTCAGGGATAGTTTGAGTAATGAGACTAATTACAGAAGCACAACTAGCCTCAAATGTATCAGTTCCAGTAGTTTTTTTCCACTCACACACAATTAAACCCAAAACACTGCAGCAAAAGGAGGTTTTCAATGATTAGAAAGGGTAAAAGAAGGTAGCAGTCTTTATTTTCCTCATCATCAACAAAATGATAAAATACTGTTTTGAATCCATAACTGACACATCCTATACCTTTCCTATTGCTCAATGCCACCTCGCTCTACGCCTGGCCTAAACTATTTAACACCACACTGTTGTGATGGGGGACGTGTTCATTAATCACAATAAAACACGGACTGTAGTTTATTTTAAATCAATTTAATACTAGAGGGCAACTCTTCTCCCATAAATACTCACTTAAGAAAAAAACGTGGACTAATCCACTGCTGGAGACGGTTCCAAACGAAGGCAAAATGTCCTGACGCTTGGAAAAAAAACTCTGAAACCTACCAGAAAAACTTCGAAAGATTCACATCCTCAGGAGGAAAAAACTGGCTGCAGTGTCAGCAAAGACGAGTGAAATGCAAGACTTGGATTTGACCTTTGAGAGGAATTTCTGACAGTAACAAAACTATGGAATACCTTTATACTCCAGAAGTCTGCGTTGGCCTTAACTACCTTTTATCCATATATATTGAATAATATTAACATCCTCAAACTTTCTTCATCGTCTCGAAAATGACCGTCGTGCCCCTGATTTAAAGGTTTCCTGAAGTTCAAAGCTATTTTATTTTGTGCTCTGTGACTGAATTATGGGATGCTGATGACTGAAGAATGGAAGATTACAACAGCTACACTCACCCACACAGTGCCGGACCGGGGAAGTGCAAAGAGCGAGCGCATGTGATGGTCGATGTAATGGACTCCTTGTGAACCTTTCCTAAATTAAAAAAAAGAGAGAAAGAACGAGTCATAATGACTTTTTTTATTCTTACTTCAAGACTGCATATGTTGACAGATCGCAGAGGAGAAGTGGGGATGTGGAGCTTGTTAGGAGGCAGGAAGGTCACACTATGGTTAGTGTAAGCTCCACTACCTTCGGAGTTTGAATCACTCTGAAAAGTAAGGATGAACTACGATATTACCTTTGATGCTGAATTTTTGTTTTCAATGCTAAATGCAGCCACTCTGTTCATCTTCCAGACTGTTTCTACTACAGAATTTACAAAGCTGTAACCTGAAGTTCATAATCTTTGGAAGGTGCTGGCTGTTTTCCACACTTTAACTTTTTGGGACACAAAAATCACAAGTGAGTATGCCCAATGAAACTCAGTTAGGACACTGATACAGTGGAAAGACTTCTGTAAATAGGAGTTTCATGTGGTGACTTTTAGGTTAGGGCTGACACAGTTAGTCCCATGAGCTAAAAGAGCGTACATGAACCCAGCACCAAACCAGCTCCCACACTCTCGCCTCTGTCAGTGCGCCACAGGGCAGCTGTGGCTACAATGTAGCTGGCCATCACCAGTGTGTGAATGTGTGTGTGAATGGGTGGATGACTGAATGTAGTGTAAAGTGCTTTGGGGTCCTTAGGGACTAAGTAAAGCGCTATACAAATACAGGCCATTTACCATTTGCTGACCAGGTGAAACTCTCAGGAGAGGCTGAGTACCTGAGGGATGTGCCAGCAGCTGTGGATCCTACTCTTCAGATTCCTTCTGAATTTGAAGAAGCGATTGTGAAGAAGCTCAAGGGAAAAAATAAACTCTGATATTTTCATTCACGAGAAAGAATTGCTATTCATTTCATTATCAGTGATTGTTTTGGTTCTTATTGTGACAATTTTCGTTTCCATTAGCTGTCAAAGAATTCCTTTCCCAGTACTTTTGTAGTCTTTTTATTTTAAAGTGCACCTTAGGAATCTAGAACCCAAGTGAACAGTGATTGAGACAAATTTTGATTTGATTTCCCAAAGAGCTCTGGGGTCTGATCGTGGATGTTCTCTAGTGTAAATGCTAATGTGTCCCTAACAAAGACAGAGGTCAGGGATTTGGCTTTGGTTCACCCTGGAGTCCACTGCTTCAACATACTGTCTCTTTTCTGAGCATGATTAAATACATATAGCACTGTATTGATAGACTTGTGGCTAGACTGCCTCCATGCTTTAATGTTGGACTCACTAACTCTCTAGTATTTGTTCATTTTGGTTTACAACTGTCCAACATATCTTTCAAACCTTAGAGGCAAATACCAGAGATACAATGTAAGTGAGTCAGATGCAAAGTTGTAACAAAGAAACAGAGACAAGCTTTCTTACACCACGGTGCCGTTGTCCTGGGCCATCAAAACCCCCGGTGCATTCAGTGGCCAGTTGATTTCATTGGCCAGACAGCGTTTCTGAACCGTGATGGGATCATAGAGCCTCCTCAGATCCCATGTCTTCACGAAGCGGTCGTCACCTGTCGTCACCAACAGGTATCTAGAAGACAAAAAACAAATGAAAAGTTAAAGACATGTTGACGATGGGAAAACAGACCAGGATGTTCTGTTGGTGGAAAATATAAATAGGCTGAACACAGGGATTTAAATGTGATGCAGTGCTTGAAGTGAAAGTCATTATTCTCTTTACATTGATCAAATCTGACAGCGGCGTCTGCCATAAAACAAATGAAGGCAGAACAATCGATACAGTCGGATTTCTTTTGTAAGACAAAAAATGCTTTATGAATGCGATGACAAAGGAGAAAAAAGACTTTGCAGTGAGAGAAAAAGAAAATACAAAGGTGTTAAAAACCAGAGCAAAGACAAAGAGAGGGGAGATTTGATCTTTTTCAGCATGACTGTGTAATTAAAAAGCAGTGATCCAGACAAGATACGCGTCCTCAGAGTCTCTCTGCTGCCAGCCAGGAGCTTTTTCTCTCTCTGTGGGATTAATCTTGATCATTTATCAACCTTTAATCCAACTTTAGTTTTATCTTTAGAGAAAACTAAAGTCTGTGGTTCAGAAATGAAGAAAATAGTTTAAAAAGTGGAGGAAAACTGGCTGCTATCAAATTAGGTTCACATCTGCTCAAATGAAGGCTGCAGTTGTAGTTTTAATGGAAATACTAATTACCTCAATCATTACATCTGACTACTTGTATTTGCCAGCTGTTTTAAAGCAGTGTTGACTAAAATGGGTCATTAGTTTGTTTTAAGAGGTCACAGCCCCACAAAATGGGCTTTAGCAGGACCATGTGTTTGAAACCATTGTTACCATTATCTCAAATTCTGATCTGAGGTTAAATACACATTTACAAAATGTTATTTGGCAGTTCTTCAAAAAAGCAAAATCCATGACAAGGCAGAAAATCCTCTGTGAAAGCTTTTACATCACGCCACAATATAAGCCATATTAATCATGCTTTAGGTGAGTCGGCAGGGCTGGATGGGTTTAGAAGGAGATGATGCTGATGACCTCACACTGACCTGTTAGTGGGAAAAATGACATTCTGGACAGTTTTTAATGAAAAACCAATTCTGCTTCATCCCCGATACTGACTTGCAGTGTATATCTGTGAATACTCGTATTAGACACAGGTGATTTCAATAACCTCTCCAGCTCACTCCTATCTGCACATACACCAGCTGACTAACAGAGCACAGAAAAATGATTTCAGGAGACACAGTCCGTAATGGGGCTAAAGTCAAATCCTTAGCTATGACATTTTATTATTTTTTAAATTGGCCATCCCGTTTTCACTTCTGTATCGAGCATTTAAAGTTTACTCACATCAAGAAAGTTGCGAGCAGTTCATCTGAATTATTTCCACCTGTGCTTTAGTTAATTTGGTTAAGTGATTATGTTGGTATACATACTATAAGAAGATCCAGCTTACACAGTGCAGTCCCTCAGATAACATGTTAAAGATAAATAAAAGCCAGAAACTAAGAAATCAAACAAAACTAATTCTTAAAATCCACATGAACGATTCTCACATAAGCCCATTATCATCTAGAACCTGTAAACATTCAAGCGTCAGGTTTATGTAACTTTACATACCTTTCAGAGAGCCAGTTGCATACCTGCAGCTTGCCTATTTCTGGGTGTTTATTTGTTATAAGATATGAAGAATAAATATTGGTGACATGAAAAAACAGCACAAAATGTCCTCTATGAACACTTGAAGTTTTTGAGTCAGTTAACTATTCCAAGCAGGGAGAGTGAACTTTAGATATGAATGGAAAATCACACCAGGCAGTGAGACCTCAGCAAGGCTGCAGCCTGAAGGTCAGCGCATGTTGACTTGCATAGAGCTAAGTCAGGTTGCCTTGTCTGAGTGGTGATAAGGACGTGGCTGCTTGCCCGGCCTTGTACCCTACATTCTGAATTAGTGCCTGAATACAATAAAGGGAGGGCTCTACTGCAACTCTGTGCGTTCAAAATTTATCGTCTCGCCTTTAGCTCCGAGTACCAGAGGCGCCAACAAATCGCCTTTTTAATTGGCTGCGAATAACAACTACCAGAGTAAAGTAGATGAAGGAAAAACTGATGAAATAAAGACACAAAGATGGGATCACTGGGTGACTGCAGTATTTTCTTTAAGTTTTACTGAGCTTTGAAATTCTATTGTACTGTTACACAAGCAGTGACCTTTAAAGCTGAAAATAAGGCCAATGTGAAGGTGCTAAAACACTGCAGTCCCTTGCCATGTGACGCTGCCTCAAAAAGTGAGTCAGTTCCCACAGACTCCTGTTTACAGCATTCAAATTTACAGCCCAGTCTGAAATAATGTATTTATTTCCTTCAGAGATAATTTCTCCTTTTACAGTAAAAGTACAGCTTTTCTGAATTAATTGTCTAACTGGATACAGGCAAGACTTAAAGTTAGACGTGTGTTTACTTCGACTGACAGCTGTAGCTGGCATCTTGACATCTACTGGATTTGTCTGCCATGTTTGTGCTGCTGGAGCCTTTGCATTATGCAATATGTATATTTGGTGTGGAAGCTGGTCACCTCATAGCATGAAGGTCCTAGGTTCAAATCCAGTGGCCAGCTGGACCCTTTCTGTGTGGAGTCTGCATGTGTGCACACCTGTGTGGATCAGCACACTTGTATTCAAAAGGTTTCTCCATGTAACGATCTGCTAGGGAGTGTGGAGAGTCATAGCTCCGCCCCCCAGGGCATGAAGCAGGTATGGCGGAGTTACAGGCCCCAGACATCCAGAGGCCCCAGAATACGAGGACCCAAGGAGAACCACCACAGGGGCAACCGTGCCACCCTCCTGGGAAGAGCTGAGGAGAGCCCCAAACGAGAGGTCACCCAGCAGCCACGGAGCAGAGGCCAGAGGGGGTTGCAGTGACGTGCCGGCAGCCAGCTGTGCCAGAGAGGCCTGAGGGCACCACACCCCTTGGAAGGGGCCCAGCTGGGCGCTAGGCCCCACCAATCAGCCACCAGGAGTGAGTCGGTACATACATGATGATTGTAAATTTACTGTAGGTGTGAACAGCTGTCTGTCTCTATGAACTAACTCTGTGATAGACTGGTAACCTGTCCAGGGTCTAGCTTGTAACCTCAACAGTTTATTCTTGGATATAGTTTTTAAGCAAGCATGTCACCTGACAACTTAGTACTCCACCCTCTCGTCCTCATAAGCATGAACTGTTCAGCTATCAAAATTTAATAAAATGCATACGACATAGAGGCATGACAGATTAAAATCTTGATTTTGAAGTCACAGTGTTTTATTTTGATCCAGAGAGAGTTTTGATTATTACGCTCACCTGGAGGCAGGACAGAAGGCCAGGGACCGGACTCCATTGTTGTGAGCAAGGATGCATCTGTAGGGCAGCAGACTCAGCGACCTGTCTGACTCTCGCACACGCAACAGCGCAGACTTCGCTGTCAGATCCCAAAGACCTACTACACCTGGAGAGAGAGTTGAGGAGAGAACAAGCGGAAAAGTGAAACTACTGGCATAAAACAGTTCTTTAATCCATAATCTTGACTCATAGTTGAATCAGATCAGCTCAGGACTGCTCCTTTGTTTATTCTCTCAAACAGACAACTAGTTAATCAAGAACATCTGCAAGAAATCAATTCATACCATCATAGAATCCAATAGCCATTATATTGTGTGGTTTGTCAGGAAGCCAATCCATAGACAGGACGAGCCCGCTCATTTCATGGTGAGGGGCTTTGAAGGCGCCCAGCTTCAATGTCACCACTCCTTTAACCTGCAGAAAACAAAGGTCATTTTCATTTATGTCCTGTTTCAACCTAATGGTAGATACACAACATCGACAGGGCTGTGACATTATGAGCATCAATGAAAAAAGACAGTGTAAATGTATTTTAACAGGTTCCTACCTTGTATACTTGAGGTGTTTCAATGCCTTTACCTGTGAAAACACATAAAAATCCATTTCTTTAATACCCAGAGATTTTTTGCTAACTGTTTTTAAAAAGTTTCATTTTTTAAAACAAATGATTCACTTTGATGCACAGGTAGCATGTACCTTTACTGTACATGGACCCATCATATTTCTGTCATGTAACCCAACTCAAAGTTCCACTCTGCTATCTGAAATGAACCCTGACAGCTACAGTAATGGTTTACTGATGACAATAACATGAAAACTACAGAAATTCACACAGTGAGCATGAATGTAGTGCTGGATGTCCCTTGAAGATTTTTCTGTAAGCAGTGAGAATAACAGGCTCAGCTAAACATCGACGGCCCTGACTCGGCTGTCTTCAATCTGAGACGCGTTCACTTAGTGTCAGATGTAATTAAAGCTCAGCTGCAGAGCTGTGATGTTACATGTCAAGAAGCCCATTTCTAACGTGTTAATATTCTGACATTTTGGGACAGATTTTCTAACAAGCTATGCCAGAATAAAACCCTCTTTAGGTATTAAAAACGTCTCTGTCAGGATTTACCAAAGAGTCGTAGTATTAACTGAAAGGTGTAGGCGTGGTTACTGCCGTTTGGCTCTCATTATTGCACTGTGCATTTGCAGGACTTTCCCTTTCAGAGGGTTAAAAATATTTAAATTAATTGTAAGCTTTTTCTTTCCTTTTTTTTATTTTGTGCACAATGCTGCTGTTACAGTTGCTGCTAGGAGCTTTAATTTATTTGGACTGACTGAGAGAGATGTTAACAGACTGAGTGCATTACTAGTGGAAGCCCACTCTTGGCAGATTGTGTTGGCCATTATTGAAATGATGCGTTTCAGTTTATAAATTAGCACATTGACGGTACATCACCTGCAGAACTTTCCCATCACTGCATGTTGCAATTTTGTCCCACATAGTAAATATGGCCCTTTGAATGCAAATCTCACCATTATCATAGAGCAATGCCAAATGATATTTTACATGCATAAAAGGCTACAGGCTATATACAGTATGAGCAAAAGGAATTGACTCTGTTATAAAGAGTTCACTGAGAGGTGTAGCAGGAGTACAAAAGCAGCAAATTTTTACCCTCACCATGTTTTTGCTATACTACGTGCCAGCATATTTAGTGTTGGTAATGTACCTTTAGCTTGTTAGCTAGCTTTTCATACAGATTAACAGGAATCCTGACATAACTAGAAGTACAGACAGAAGGTTTTGTATTCAATTCAAGGATGTAAGAGGGCTGATGAAGCCTTTCACTGCTATCATAGGACGAGAGGCAAGGTACGCTCAGTCACAGGACTAATACAGAAAGATGCTACGGCCATCACCTATTAACACCACATAGGTGTTTTTTTTAACTATGGTAGAACATACAAACTTCCGCCACAGACTCAACTCAAACCCAGGACCTTGTTACTGTGAGACTATACTGCTAACCATCACACCACCCTTAAGTAACCCTAAAGGTGGAAAAAATATATCTTAGAGTCAAGAGGATTTGCACATTTATAAGACCCAAACAGATAACGGATAAACTTTACGAAATGACTGGATATTTAGTTTGGCAGAAACTCTCCTATCTGTGTTTAGGCAGTCGCTGTGTTTAAAAGCGAAAAACAGAAACACGGTGTCAGACTTTTCCAGATCATTAATTTTCTCTCCTCCTCCAGTTTAGATTACTGAGAGTTTAGATTAATAGTGTCTTCTTCGCTGTTCCACTCCCTCCATCACCACACCTCTGCCTCAGAAAAATACACAATAATATTTTATATAAACCTTGTTGTAAATCAACTCTTGTTCTTTTGGCCCTCCAGATCATCAGTGAGTGGTTATTCAATATGATGTCATATGACTGACTAGGGTGTAGCAGAAGTTTGAGAAGGCTGGTCTGACAGCGTGAGGGTGATAAGTTTTAACCTTCAGGGACATAATTTGCTCTCTATAATTGTGAAAATCACATCAGTCACATTAAAACAACCTCACATTGTGCAGCCTTCTACCAGCTCGGCATGCAGCAGTGTTTACTCACTTTTCTTGTGAACAGTTTTAATGTTGTGAATAATTCATTCCTTCATTTTCTGCAGTTTAAAGTCTGGATCGCAGGAGTAGCTGTACCACCAGAAATGTCCTGACCTCCCTCTAACTAACTATAGATTTTCCTTCTATAATTCCAAGGCTACCGTGACCTGGGGGTACCTCCGGGGTGTCCTTTTTGTTAAACATGCCCAAAACACCAAAGCAGGTATCCTAGTCAGCTGCTCAGACTGACCAGCAGCCCCTTACCTTATCTCTAAGGCTCAGATCTTTTGAATCCCAGTCAGTTCTACACAGTTAAATAGCTGCCGTCATTTGTTTTAACACAAACTTCAGAGTTACTAATGTTGCAAAAAGAGAAAGTATTATAATGAGCTGTGACGACAGATATTCCCATATGGTGGATGATTAGACTGTATCAGTTTTTTCCCTTTTCTTAATCAACATTTTCACATACTTAGCTTTATAATTATCACATAATTTCCTCCTCAAGATCC